CTCTCTCTCTCTCTCTCTCTCTCTCTCTCTCTCTCTCTCTCTGCTAATGTTTTGTGGAATCATTCCGCAAATTATACTTGCGTAGATCATTTCTTCATTATATCATCGATTATTGATCTGCACAGATGGACGTGCGATGCGATCGCAGCAATTGAACCTTGCTGTCGGTCGTCAATCTTCACCGGGTCTTGGATTCGTAGGCAGTAACGGCGGTGACCTTTCTCCAACGTCCAATCAACTCGCGCGATGGTTTAGTCCAGAACTCCTCGCTCAGGCACGGGCCGGGAAATTACCGGAGCTCGGGCAGACGAATGTCCTGTCGCTGGAAGAGCTCGAGAGACTTCAACATGCGTCGACTATAGTGCATAACTAAAAGTGATTACTGACATTTTTGGGTATTACGTTTCAATTTCTCGTGAGCGATCGGAAATCCCGACGGTAACGCTGCTACTGGCCGGCTAACCAGTATGTTTCTCGTGTTACATCTCCCTTCACATCCGAGGCACCAGTATGACATCCCATCCGCGCCGGATGCTGAAAATGTATGCCGCTAAATTACAGAACGGTGCTGTCGCCTATAGTAGATTTTTTAAAGTCTTCGTATCGACAAAGTTTACCGAGGTAATGCCATATTTTGATTAAGGCTAGGAGAATCGATCAGTTGTTCGAGAGGGGGTGTACTTTCGAAGGATCTTGGTTGAGGGAAAGTCGCTGAAATGTCGTTTGTGAAAATCATTTTTCAAAGTTTCGCGGGATGTTATTTAGAAACTACAAATGTACAGGATAGTGTGTAACGTTGAAGGGCGGCATGTCGTATAATTAAGAAAGAAGTGGACAGCTTTCTACGAAAAACGATATATTGCTTATAAGACTGAAAAATGTGAAAATTCTTATTGTTGATTATGAGACAAGCTGTTACCTTGATATGCGTACTTTCTAAATGACAACACGACAAAGTCTATTTGCCTAAGATAGGACTGCAAGTTTCTTGTGTATTCGTGTCTCTCCATTGTAGTTTGCGAGATTCCGAGAATTATTTGGCGACCTGTATAATTTTCACACGTTTATTCGAAGCGTATCGCGTTGTTCTCGTTTATTCTTGACAATTGCAGGATGGTGAATATTCTGAGAATATATTGTTGCGATATCTTTCAGTTATTTGTAAGTATTGGAAGCTTTATTTCGCGTTTGCGTTTCTTACATCCAGGAAGAGAAGAACAAAGCAACTTTGGCCGCTGTCTCAGCGAATATAAAAATATAGTCTATATACTAAGTATGTCTAATGCAAGCTCATCGTTGTCGCCAACGGAAATAAGACTTAGATAGTCGGATACGCGCGTTTAATCTAGTATTATTTATAGAATATGTCGCTTGCTTGTTTACCAGTGGGACTTGCAAAATCCCTTAGGCAAATAATAATACGCAGTTTCTTCAGAAGAAGTTGTGAATTACAGCAATCAGCACTTGATTACAATTACTCACACAGCAAGCGAAGAGAGATGTGTGTATCATATTTAATATTCTATTCGTATTACTACAAACGATGCGACCTTATTAATACGGAGAAACAAACGAGATAAAGATGACACGTCACAAGTCATGCGCGCGCGCGTATATATATATATATATATATATATATATATATATTATAAAGATAAATATATAATATATACTTCGTAGAAAAAGAGAAAGAGAGAGAGAAGCGTGAGATTTACGGTATCATTATCATGATCGAAAGTGGTAGATAGACTGAAATGTCTCTAACAAAAAAAAAAGAAAAAAAACCTCGCGCATAAGGTATATAGAAGAATCGTTCACAGAATTAATTCAAAAAAACAAGAAATGGAGAACATTCCACCAGCCGATAGAGAATCAAACCTAAACGAGGTATATTTGCGAGCTTGAAGATCAATCAGTGTCAATACTGTTGCCAACATGTGTTTGCTTTCAATTCAATTACTTCGAGATTGCAATTTCTATACAATTCAGAGAACGAAAAAAAAATAAAAGAAAGGAAAGTTATTGGGCCTATTTTACACAAAACTGTAATACTATTTAAAAGTTTATTTTGCCCATTTCTAGAAAGAATAGCATCGTTAACTTATTCTATGCTGTGTATGTGTATGTGCATTAGAGTCTCATTATGTGTGCATAATTGCATTTTTCTTTTTCTCATAACTTTAGCACGCGATCGCTCATATCTTCAAGAAATACATCTCTTAAAGGCAAAATATTTCTATTTTTAACAGCAAAACAATCACTGTACGTTTACCTTAAATTGACGAATAGTATTTATCTATATTTTATATACTAATTAAACGACATTTATATGAACGAGTTACATAATCTAATTTATGAATATTAATTATATTCGTATGTTTTATTTTATTGCATATGATCTTTTTTTTATAATGGCATTTAATTGTATGACGATTCGTATGAGGACCGTGAGATAAATTTACGTTAAAAAAAATTTATAAAAACTTAGCAAAAAAAAAAAACAAAATTGAATTTTATTGTTATTTTGTTTGTTGCGGAATTTATTTCAGCGCGATAAAGAACGTAATTTTAAAAAGTATCACTGCGCTGCAAGTAATTTTGACAAAAACGTACTATCTAAATTTTTTCTAAATATACGAAGCATGGACATTGTTTGCGACAGTGTTACGTTCGATCCGTATTTATCTCATTTAACGACATTCACAAATCTGTTCGCTCGACAACATTTTGCATGCACGACTACGGAGATAAATACGGATTATGATTTCTTAGATGCTTGTTACTTAATATATAAAAAATTTTTTCTGTGCGATAATATCTTTTAAGAGAGTCTTGTATGTTTTAATAGCCATATTTATAATGTTCATCTATGTCTAACGTTTTATTAGCATGTATCACACAACACGTATATGATGTTAACAAAATGTTAGAGGGATGAGCGGTTCGACGCGCCAACTTCTACGTAGATGAAAATTACGAAATATGATGAGCATGAAAAAATTGCGCATTAACCAATCGCAATAATACATTCACGTATTTTCAACATGCTATTGTACATGACAACGAGCCGTGTGAGGCACGAAAAATGCAAGACGACGTTATGGGACTCTAACGATGCGTTCAAACTGATGTGTACTTGTTGCATCGACTGAAGATGACGGAGAACACGTTGCAAACAATATTGTACGGTGATACGCGTAACAGAGCGAGACAAAACGAGAGAGAGAGAGAGAGAGAGAGAGGAAGGGAGAAAGAGAAAGAGAGAAACAAAGGGAGAGATCTCATTTTTTTTTTTTTTTTCATACCATTTTCGTTACTCGACGTTCGGCGATTGTAGGTGCGATTGTTTAGATTGTATCTCGGACCGATCATCGTCACTGTAAGCTTATCTCAAGCGTCCATAAGTGTACAAAGAGTGTAAAGAGTGTACGAAGAGTAAAAAGAATTCAAGTCATTCAATCGTGAATCTTAATGCGAGTACTATACCGGAATCATCTTTCGTCTTTTATCGTGTGGAAGATGTTACGAGTGTCACGTCACACTAATGTTATATTTGCAACACAAAAGACGTGTAGTATCGAGTATCCCACAAGGGAGATTCATATTGCCTCATAGAAATCGAAGTTCCTTTACAGAGATACGGAATAAGAGAGTTTGTGAATAATTTTTCTTTGCTTTTCATATTGATAAGAATCTCAATTGAAAATTTAGAGTGATTTTTTTAATTAAGAAATTTATGGTAACGATTCTTTTTTTTTTCGAAGATTGAAGCGAATCTGGAGGAATCATTATGTCTTTGAATTGCATTTATAGTTAGGCCAATTCCCGAGAATGACGGAGTTCACTTACTAATATTTGGCACTGGATACGAGAAAAAACTGCGTTGAAATTATTGCCAAAATGCGAGGAACTTTCACCTGGATTCTTAAAAGTGCAATCGCAGTGATTATACTTTCCCTTTCGTAATGGGAGATATTGTGAAAGACGAAAGCTCCCGTGCATTTGCGGACCTGATGGTTGTTCCATGACCCGGAAGCACAATTTTGTAAATAAACTGATTCCTAAGTAAATTAAAGTACATTTAGCACTGGGTCGATAATTTGTAAATAAAATTACTGAATATTATGTGAAGCCGAGCAAAATATCACAAATATAAGGAGAACTGTAATTATTATCCTTGTCATTTTATTTGTTTCGCTGATATAGCTACTTTCGAGTCGTTTATTTAACAAGTTTATTTACAAAATTTACACAAGAAATAATTCTATTAACAGCGCTTTTGACTAAAGCGGATTTGGAGCGCGCCAAGAGTGATTAGTGACTTCACAAGACTATCAGCTAATCACAAAACTTATATATTCGAGTCAATAATTGCTCTCGGGGTGTCGTTTTATTCAACGATGTTATAAAAATTGTTATATCATTAAAAAAACAACTAGAATCTACAATTCCAGAATCTAGAGTCTGAAATCTCTCTTTCTAAATTCTTTCTTTAAACTTAAAGATATAAAATTTATAAAATTTATTTATGTCTAAGTATTAAAGTTCCTGGTCTTTCCTTCCGTGACTATTTTTTGATTTATGATATTAGAGAAACGAGAAAATAAATTAAAAGTTTTTACAAAATATGTTCAAACAAAATAATATCTCAGACAGCACAAGATCTCCTTAGGACTTCCTTAGGATATACTCTGGATGTTTCCTGGACATCTGTGCAGTTAGGGATGTTTACAAACTGATACTTATAACTAGTCGAGTAGACTCGTAATAGTTCTTTTATTACACTTTTATTACAACAATCAATAAATAGCCGTAAAATTAACGTGACAAAATCATGAGGAAAAGTTAAAAAGAAGGATGCATGTCATATTAATTTTACGATATACTGATTCGAACAATAGGAAATTGTTTGGACTAACTTACAAATTTATTTGTTTGATTATGTTATTATTTTAATATATATTTTTAAATATCAACTTTGTAAGAGTTTTGGGCATAAATTTCCTTACTTCTAACGTCATCAGTCAAAAGTTCCGCGGCGAGTAGCCAGAAAATCCTAAACCTACTTTATCAATACTCAAATATTGGATTTTTTGCGATACCACTAGATAGCGCCAGACAAGTCTATTTAATCCATGGACGTAAGAATACATGAAAACTGAGCGAAAAGTGCGATTACTGACGAGGGGCTGTGAAGCCTAAAGCCCATTCTACAATTGCATGAACGTGGATGTAAGTGGTTGTAAGTGATTACGACAACCAATCAGAGTAAAGCAATCAATGAATAAAACATTTGGATTGGTTGACTCTTACGTTCACGACTACGCTTACGCAATTGTAGAATGGGCTTTAAGCTGGTGGCACATAGAAAACTTAAGTAGTAAGACGTAAACAGTAAGCGAATTAGCCAATCACAATCGTTGTTTCTTGGACCGTAAGAAGAATCAACGACTGTGATTGGTCAATTTGCTTACTGCTTACGTCTTACTGCTTAAATTTTTCTGTGTCCACGGCCCTAAAGAACAAGAGGGGTACATTGTCGCGGCCATATTGGTATAAAAGAGTTTTGTATCTATTTTCACTGTATAAAAACAGCGACCGTCGCCTTTAGTTAAAGAGCTGGGCCCTTATTCTTGAAATAGTTGCGTATACGTAAGTTTTACTGCGTAGCTATTTATGGTATGATTAAACCTGCGCAGTAAAACTTACGTATACGCAACTATCTTAAGAATAAGGGCCCTGCACTACTGAACTAGTGCAATAAGAGTGAGACAAGTATATTTTATCTTGTTCCATGAAGTAAGAGATAAGGAGACCGAACTTGATGAGGAGTAGAGAAAGTGGTCCTGATTCATGTCTCCCAATTGAGAGGAAATCCGCTGAAAAGAATAACTTCTTATGGTTGAGCGCCATTTGTAAAGCAATAAGTTAGAGCGAGATTAGATATACTTGTCTCACTCTTACTGCACCAGTTCAGTGATGCAGTTAAAGAGCTGCACTAGGGAGAAGGCACTAGAGGCAAATCAACTTTCTCACTCTGTTTTAAACTGCCAACTTCCGGCTTCACTTTGCGGACAGAATGCTTGGTCTATGGCCGGCATTCATAGTCCGATCTTATATTTAAGATCATCTTAAGTACTGTCTTAAGATGTCATAAACCAATTACAGAGCCGTATTCGCATCTTAAGACATTACTTAAGACTGTCTTGAAGTAAGATTCGACTATGGCTGTGTTCCGAAATTCATTGCTAGTATTGAAATTCTATAATATACGTGACATGAATTATAGATTTTCAGTACTCGCAGTGAATTTCGGAACGTAGCTTATGAATACTGGTCTATGTATATACATCACTGGTCTTCTACAATAAGCCATAAGCTGCAAGCAAATTGATCAATCACAGTCGATTATTTTCAAAAATAATCGCGGCTCTCCGCGAAAAGTCTCCACTATGATTACTGTGTATGCAGACTCTTAGCTTCAAATAATATATCTCACAACCAAAAATTTTTAATAAATTTGTCAATGGAACTTTTCATTTCTCACGATTTCACGTGAAAGAAAGAGATATATGACCGATTTACAGATTAGAAGTCAATCTCATTATCTCTGATTAACTTAATCGGCCGATTCAATATTAATCGTGATTAGATAATTCTGCTTAACATCAGAGGCAACTGATCAGTTTCAACGGAAGAGCTGTATTTAATCGATCGATTGCCCTAATCGGAAATGATGAAATCAGCCCTAAGTTAATTGAAAACATCCTTACGAAAAAAATACAAAAAACTCTCAATTTTGAGTGTAAACATCCAAAAACTGTGAATGAATACCTAAATTTGAGTGTTAACACCCAGAATTGAGGGTTTTTTCGTATTTTTTTCGTAAGGGCAGTGAAGCCGAACTTGTGTTTCGATATTCTTTGCCCATACTGAAAATCTATAGTTTATGTTACGTATATTATAGATTTTCAACACTGACCTTAGAACATATATACAGGGTATTTCTTTACTTTCGCTCACGAAGAACATAGTGTTATCTCTTATGAAAAATTGAATCCTGAACCATTTTTGTCTTTGATACTTAACGAAGCAGATATTCTTTAATAAATTCTAGCAAACCGCGCCGTTCTTTAGAAGTATACACGTCTGTAAGCTGCGCGCTTAATGCGTGAATGTAGCGGAACATTCATTAGGTTAGGTTATAAAGTTGACAGGAAATCAAAGTTATTTATTTTCTTCTCATAGAATTCTGAGAATTTTTTCAGAATTTTGTATTAACTTTCTAGTACTTCAAGAAAATGCAAGAAAACGCAAGAAAATGCGGTACTAAAAAATTAATACAAAATTCTGAAAAAATTCTCCGAACTCTATAAGAAGAAAATAAACCATTTTTATCTCTTGCTATTTTTCGGTAAAGTTGATAGAATTCAAGTAAAAAAATATTGAAACCAATAATTTTGTAGCCCAGCAACTGACGCATGTTGGTACATGCGCACAGAGGATGAATAGGAATATATACCTTTCTCTCTTGCACATATTTTGGATATACTTTTGGTCTACAGGAGGCATACGCAATTCCCCCTCCATATATAGGGTGTTTCTTTACCTCCGCCCATGAGGCACATAACGTTATTTCTTATAAAAAATTGAATCGAAAAGTCCTGTCAATTTCAATGCATGCGCATAGAGGACGAATAGGAACGTATAACTTTCTCTCTCGCACACATTTTGGACACACTTCGTACTAGCATTCCCCCCTCCATGTATATATGCTCTAAGGCATTGACAATCTCTCTCTCTCTCTCTCTCAATATGGCTTCAGGCAACCAAAAGGCGTACCCCCAACACCACTCAACGAAGGCGCTGACAATGAATATTGGAACGTAGACTTATGGCTCCTGCACACAGGACGCGGTAATGGTTGCCGCGCGGCGGAAGGTCGCGCCAATCAATATGTTGCTTTCCGTAATAACCTTCTAGCTCTTATGGAAAAACAACATATTGATTGGCTGTCGTGCGAACTTCCGCCGCGCGGCAAGTATTACTGCATCCTGTGTATGGCAGGAGCCATAAACGTCTGTCAACATCTGTAGCGCTGCCAGGACCAA